AGAGAGTTACTAGAGAACTTTTTGTCTCTTTACTCAACTTTCCCCCATTCCCCTATCTCCAGATGAATGACCTGGGCACTGCGATGGAGACTGAGTCTGACTATTCTTTCTTCCAAACTAAAAAATTTCCATATTATAAGCAAGATCAACTTACTAGAATCCAGTTGGCAGAAAGGTAAGATGACATTTGGACTCTTGTTCTTTACTCTTTCAATTGACTTATCTACTAAGTACTAACAGAGGGGAAAGGATATTTTCAGAAGTGGACAGTGAGTAGAGCCAAATGATGTCCTCTGTCTGACTCTGGCCCCGCTGTATTGTCCAGTGCGTGCCACGTCCAGTGTGGTTCTCTCCAGGGCAGTTTCAAGAGCAGAGGGCTTTGTGGTTTTGGTGTGAAGATTTTTCCTGCTAACTGAGGATGGCCCAAGGGGAAACTCCTTTGGCATAATGTTATTGAGCAGAATTAATGAATCCACCTCTGTATGTGTAAGGCAGCTTCAGGCCCTTGTTCAAATGGAGATGCTAACAAATGTAATGCTCTTTTCTGCCAGTAGAATACCAGGTATGTTAAACTTAAGGAAGCCCTCAAAATATGACTGTAGGCTTACATGGAATGGAATTAAGCTCCTCTTCCCTGAGACTTCTTTCTCCACACACCTCCCCAATCCTCCCAGAATTCTTTAGCTTTCTAACTATCATCAAAACTTATTTACAAGAAAGAATTGGAAGTTCAATTACCCTCAAGTAAAAAGTGATGGCTTAACATGTTTTCTCTACCAGCAAGATTTCAATATGAATAAAACCTTAGATAAAATGTTTGCAGTACCTTTATCAATTAATGACAAGCCTTTTAAAAAAAGGAAAGGAGGACATGCCTGTAATCCCAGCACTCTGGGAGGCTGAGATAGGAGGATCAATTGAGGCCAGGAGTTCTAGACCAGCCTGGGCAACATAGCAAGACGCCATCACTGTAAATTTTTTTTAACAAAAGAAAAAAAAGGAAAGAAATTTTTTTGAGGGAGGGATTAGGAGATAAAGTGACTTATCAGGCAGAGGGAGCCACCACTATTGAAACATTCTGGGGTCAGGTCTTTGCAAACATGAATGAATATTGTTTTCTGTGATTGTCTAGCAAGCTAGCACTTCACAGAAGATTATCAATCTACGTACCACACCAACAGATCCAAAATATCATCACAACTTAGGAAAGCCTCTAGGTTGCAGTGAGCTGAGGCCACTGCACTCCAGCCTGGGGAACAGATCAAGACTCCATCTCAAAAGAAAAAACCTCTAATATTTTAAAGTTAAAGTTAGTTGGGTTTATTAGCAAAAAAAGAATCTTCTCCAGGATTTCATTTAGGTAGAAGGCCAAACCTCAAATAGTCCAACCAAATATAAAACATAGTTTTCTAGATAGCTCTGGAATATAAGGCAATTAAGGAAAATTCATTGTAAAATCATAAGCAAGAAGAACTGTTTTATCTCTTAGCAAAGAGGATAAACCCAGACTGGCTCCAATCAAAGTCAACAGCATAATATAAAATGAGCAAGTTAACTACTTACAAATAATATGATCTCTCCCAGAATGTTTGGGTCTTTTGCCATCCAATAGAATAAAGAAGAACAACCCAAAAATATATACAAGCTGATATCTTTACTTGCCTCTAGATTCCATCATGAAATATACCTCCATTTTGAATTAATTGAATACACCTGTTAGTGTATAGAATACTCATATACATATCCTCTTCCAATCAAACTGAATATAGAAAAGTATACATCTCTCTGCTATCTTATGTATTTTTAATAATTCTAGATTATTTGTTTCAATCTTACAGTTCTACACTTTCATATTTTAATGGTATTCATGTAAAAGATATGGCTCTATTTTGGAATTTTTCAAAATAATCTTTTATTTCTAGGTCATAGAGATATGTTAACACTTAGTTAAGTTTTGCAGAGCTGAAATCTTGAGAATGTTTTGGGTTGAATTGTTTAGTGCTGAATACATGTTAATTTGAATACTTGATCTAACCTTGCCTTCCTCTCTGATTTTATTATTTCTCAGAACAATAGATCATCATAAGTGTTGCTTTGGAGCAGTTTAAAGTTACAAAACAGAATTGAGCTGATCAAGTTTTGACATTGGCTTTTGAACATTGTTTGCTTCACCATCTTTAAAAATAATTTTCTAACACACACACCTATATGTAATCTATAGCTATGTTCCACAGAGTGAGATCATTTTTTGAAAATCTATTTCAGAAGTTGATCATATGACGCTAAAGAACACAGTAATTAATTATTTAGTAAAAGTAAGTCCCTGTTTGCAAATGAATAATCATCCCCTTCCCAAATACATTTCTTTTTTCTTGTTACTTTCTTTCTTTTTTCTGAGATAGAATCTTGCTCTGTCACCTGGCTGGAGGGCAGTAGCATGATCTCGGCTCACTGCAACTTCCATCTCCTGGATTCAAATGATTCTCCTGCTCAGCCTCCCAAGTAGCTGGGATTACAGGCACCCACCACAACTCTCGGCTAACTTTTTGTATTTTTAGTAGAGACGGGATTTCACTATGTTGGCCAGGCTTCTCTCAAACTCCTGGTCTCAGGTGATCCACCCACCTTGGCCTCCCATAGGGCTGGGATTATAGATGTGAGCCTCCATGCCTGGCCCCAAACACATTTCTTTAAATTCAAATTTTCCCTTCTGAGTTTTCTTAAATCATGACCCTTTCATATTATGTGTTCACTTTGTGAAGTATTTTAAATTTCCCTTTCTTGGTCAACTCTCCAGAAATGACTGACTTCCAAATCTACCACCTACCCCTGGGAATCAACTCTGTTTTTCACATTTCCAGTTTAGTATCTCTTTCTTCAATCACACGTTCATTTGCACTCACCTAAAGGCTTGGTCAGCAGCATAGACTTATTCTCTCTCTTTCTCTCTCTCTCTCTCTCTCTCTCTCCCCCCCCCGTCTCTGTCTCTCTCTCTCTCTCACCTATGAGTCATTACAATTTCAACAGAATTACAATAATGAGTTCAGAACCTGTCGCCCACACCTCACAGTAAGTAAAAGGAACCAGAAGACAGCTTTCTCCTCTTATAAATGTCAAGTGTTCAGCATGTCTCCAGTGGGTGCTGAATAGAAAAGTAACCTTAAAGAAGTCAGCCCTTGGGTTGGAGCAAAGCTTTGAGAATTCAGAGTCCATGGTTGACTTTCCCACAAGGGCATGCAATTGGTAGTTTCAGCTGCTTCTTCCATGAGGCTTAACTATCCGCAGCACCAGCTTGGTGTCTGAGTTGTTTTGATCAGGTGGGAAAGGGAGAGCCCACAAGACAAACAGCAAAGGATTTTCAGGTTTGTTTCAATGGCAGACAGCTAAGCTGTGTACAGGGAGTGGGGCAGCGCGGGGGGAGGGTGGCGGGGGGTGTTGATGGTCTTCCTCCTGAGGCTTCTCAAATGTAAACTCTTTTTTCTTAACAAGCTGACACACTGCACACCACACCTTACTAATGACCAATTCTTTGGTCAACAAAGGGTGCAAGAGGATTGTGGAAAATCCACAGTAGGGTTTACATTTGGCTGTCACTATGCCTTTCATGAAGATCTTAAAGTATTGTGCCTAAAAGTCCTTACTGAGGTTTGATAGGAAGGATATTGAACTAGAATAACTTGAGATACTAGCCAAAGTTTATTTTTGTTATCGGGATTCTTTTGTTACATTTGAACAGGGAGAAATGCATTTAGGCAGATTGGCATGATTTGTGCTGGAGATTTGAGGAGGCAATTGGAAGCAAGTAAAGGAAGAAAGCCAGGCAAGAGGGAAGGGGTGACATCAAACGTGCCCTCTGTATTTCGCCCCAGAAAACAGCTCCCAATTATAACTACCTGCCTTGTTGTGCAGCTCAGGATAAAAGTGGTGTTGCAACAAACCCTACTGGAGCAGCCTTTGTGATTAGAAAGTACTCCACACCTTGGAGAGCCGAGGAGACATGAGAATAATTTTAAATGCAAATTAAATTGAGGGGGTAGCAGAGAAGAACACATAAAAGACAGTAAAACAAAACCTTTCAATTTTCTTAAATTAGCAGTCTAATGTGTTCTAAAGAGCAGCTCCACTCAGATCTCTTCTTAGGGGTTGCATTTCATCACAGTATAAATGGGCAAATCCATCACTTCCCTCTGCTCAGTGTTCTTGAAACAAGATTGAAGGGAAAATTAGAAGCTGTTCATTTGGGTTTGTGGGCTCAGAAGCGTCACACTGCTTTGTTCTATACTCTATCGTGTCCTGTTGAAAGAGGTCAACAAGTGCCGGTGAGTATCTGCTAATTTCTACTCTTCCTTTCATATATCTTTTTGGCTAGTTTTCCTTTGCAGGAGATGGGGGGATCTCTCACAAGATCTATGCTATAATGTGTCTTTCAGAATCTGGGAAATTTCAGACAGCTTTTTAAGCTTCTTCCAGTGACTGATTCGCAGAAGGGAAGAGTTATTTTCAGCCTGGATGCCGGTGGCTGTTCTGTGTATTAATTATAACAGGGGAATGTTTAACATATGCTAAGCTAAAATGGCCTTTCCGTAAACTCCCCCCAAATTCCCTGCCACTCTTAGGCCAGCATTAGGGTGAGAACCGGTGCCCCCACAACAGTTTCTATACAACTTTTCTATATATTAAAATTTTAATCATTTCCTTACCTGTTCTTTTGTGGCTGCAAATCAAACTAAGACTTGGGATTATAAAAATAAACTATGAAGACATAAATATGTGTTTTTAATGACTATGACACTTCTGTGCATAAGAGATGGGGGGCCGGGGAATAGCCCTGCGTGATGTACACATGTGGATTTGATGATTTTCTGCCAAAGTTTTACATGGGAAACTGGTAATTTTCTTCCTTCTCAGGGGAGGGTGCAGAGGCTGAGGCTGGCGTCACCTTCCGTTGCTAAGGTAACGTGCTCTGGCCATTTTATCTGATAAAGGAAGTCCAGTGGACTGTATGCATTATTCATCACTGTTCTAATCAAACAATCAAAATCGTTTATTTTCGCTGGGAATATTTAGCAAGATCAAAGACACTCTGGCTGGAATGGCTCTTGTTTTACCGCTGACAATTAGCCGTGGGTTTTTATTTTTTGCAGTAAGTATATTGGCTATTGGGGTACCTTTGGGTATTTGTAAAAGTTTTGTCTTACCGGACTTGGTTTCTTAAATTAAAATATATACTGTTAGAGAAACCGATTGGATAAGCCTTCTGAGCTTGGTTTTAATGACTTTGTCTTGTTAATTCTTTCCAAAAAAATATTCTGCAGAAATAGAGATAATTCAGTTGTGCAAGTATCAGGGAAAGGCTACATAGGCTTGAAAAAATAACCCAACAGGCTGAATGTTTTCTGGGGAAGTATATTAGCTTTGTGACAGGCTAGAATATGATAATGTCATAGGGATTATTGCAATGCTGTAATCATTGTTACTGCTCTACCAACCACAATTATTTCTCAAAAGCAGCCCCTGCCAGGCACAGGCAGGTGACAATCCTGTGGCACTTTATAAAATGTGCTGAAGGGAATCGCCCGGAAGGAAGGAATTCAAAGCATTTGTACAGCAAATATGTCAGTGTGTGTCATAAACGCAAGGCATCTATGAGTGGAGGCTTAGATTCCCAGGCGATTTTCCCTGCTCCGGGGGAATCCGAAAGTCTCAGGATCAGTTGAGGATCAACACTCACAACGCCTAACACTTAATGATGCTATTTATCAGATAGACCTTTTGAAAACCGATAGCATGTGAAATTAACAGTATATGTTCCAGCGAATATAAAGCAAGGAAAGACTGGTATGTTATTTCTCTTTAGATCAGATCATCTGTTTTTCCTGGGTAGAATATATTACTTTTAATGAATGTTCACTAAATGCTGCATTTTCTCATACGGTAGGGAAGCTATGCTGAGGGGTGGCTTTAGAATTGGAAATGTCAGTCAAATAATAGAATATTATAATGGGATATTCTTATTCAAACATTGTAAAGTACATCTATATAGACACTTATACTTGACATCTAAAATTTTGTGGGTTTTTTTTTCCTCTTTATAGGTATTCAAGTGAATATTTTCTCTCAGAGCTCCGTGTTTGGAACATCAAGCATGGATTATCCCAAAATGGATTATTTTCTGGATGTGGAGTCTGCTCATAGACTCTTGGATGTTGAGTCAGCTCAAAGATTCTTCTACAGTCAAGGAGCTCAAGGTAATAAAATAAGAAAAAGAAATTCCTCTCATTTGCACGTCGGTTTTATATGAACAGCCGTGTCGGGTGTAGTTGCTAGAGCTTTGCTCTGAAATTTTAATAACTGGTATTTCTAAATTGATAACCTCTACCAAACTGCTGCTGGAATTGAGGCAGGCATATAATAGAATAAATAAATCCACACTTCTTGGATGTGGTTTAAAAAATATCCAACTTTTGATGCAAGTGCCCCTCAGAAAGCTATGTCAGAAATGATTTCCCACTGCCTTGAGTCCAGTATTTACGTCCAAAGAGTCAGGGATGCTTTTCCCCTTGGAGAATTCCCAGTTTGCAGCCACTGTACTTGGAATCTTAGGGCATCGTGACCTAGTGGACTGGAATCCGGCAGGATTAGGGGCTCCTGAGAGAAGCCTTGAGCTTCTCAATAGCTGCCTTCACTATTTTAGCTGAATTCAGTTACTGCCTCAGAGAATTACCAGTGTCCATTCAGGGAGAAAGCCTGCTGGGAAGTATGGTGATGTGTCTGTTTTTATTACATGTTTCAAGGTGGTCATTTAGGCTCCAGTTTTCTTGCCCTTCTGTTGGGGCATTTAGAATGTTTTTCCACCACATTAAAGAAAGAAGCTGGAGTGTTAATATGAGATCTCATGACAAGGAGATTTCTTTTTACATATTTTATGTTTTCCATGGAATATTTAAGGTGTTCAGTCAAAGCAACCTGACAATGGGCATGTCCCAAATGGTGCAGGTGATGCATTTAGAAGGAGGACAAAGTCCCTATTTTAAAATAGAAAAGCAATTGAATTTTTAGAAGAAGTCACAAAGCAGAGCTGAGAAGAAAATGCAGTCAGTTTTTATAATTCTGGCATCTTTCACTTTAGATGGTGATGGGAACTTCACTCAGCCACTGATAATATCCTGCCTGGGCTTTCCCAAGTGGTCTTCTGAATTGCTTTTACCTCCCTCTCAAGCCAATTTATCGTGGTAACCTCAGGGGGCCTTGCAAGCCGTCTCCTTCTCTGCTTCCATTTCCCAGGGCATGTCCCAGTCTTCTTAAAGTCAAGAGGGGTTGGAAATGATCTGGTTGATTTGCTGAGGTCTGTGTGCCCATCAGCAGAGCTGAAATCAGCAAAAGTGATATAATAGCTAATTCTCCTCAAACTTCTGGGTGTATGGAGTCAACATGGCTATTCTGAGCCACTTAAAGAGAGATAAAAATGTGAGTGAGAAGAAAAGAATGAGAAATTGGCCAGGACCTCCAACCTCTTCTGGGTCTGCAAGTAAGAAGACGCTGGAAGTAGATATAGAATGGAGGAGGCTGGAAGTGGGTGGGGAATGAGGTTAGGCTCAATCCCTTCTCCAGCGCCAAGGTCACACATTGCGCCATCATTGGTCCATTCAACTGGAATGAGACAATAATTCTCTGTGGCGAGGTCTTTCCCCTGAACTGCATAGCCATCTGCAACAGAAACGGAGGGGGAGGCAGTTAATTATAGAGAATAAAGATGTCCACTTGGTCTTGCAGTGGGGATGGTATAAGCCTTTAAGAAGACTGTGGGCTCCAAGCTCTTACGGAAGGAAAGCAGGCAGGGTGTGGGAGGCTCGGAGGACTCAAGGCAGCCTTCTGGTTGTCAGCAGATGGAGCTGGGGGTGGAGTGGTCAGAATCGTCACCATCAGTGACTGTGGTTTAGACATCAGAGCTGGAAGGACTAGAAAATGCATAGGAGGTGGTAGCATAAGCTACTGCTGCTCCCTGGAGTCATGTTCGTATTAATCAGATGATGTTCAATCAAGGATTCCTGAATTTGCGAGAGGGGAGGGGGTTCCCCACACATTGTCTAGGTCAGTGTTTCAAAACCCCAGTCTTCCTGAATCAAACATCCAGGTGTAAGGCCTGTGAATTTGCATTTTAAGCAAGAACTCCAGGGATGGCTACCTAGCCAGTTCATCAGTCTAGGGGAAGCATTTACGAACCAGTCTACCTAATCCCATTTTCTCTTCTTCCACCCTGGAACAGGAACACTGCCCTCAGCACTAGAGGCAGGATAATATAGTGGTTGCAGGCTCCTCTGCAAAATGAAAACAGTAATAGTTCCTAATTCATAGGTTGTTAAGAGCATTAATGAAGTAAGGTTTTAAAGTGCTTAAAACAGTATCTGTCACATAAGAAATGCTATACAGAGCAAATCAATAAAGTAAAAATCCCTGGCAAAAGGCCATCCTCTTCTGTATAAAACTTGATAATGGGCCAGGCAAGTGGCTCTTGCCTGTAATCAAGAGCACTTTGGGAGGTCGAGGCTGGTGGATCACTGAAGGTCAGGAGTTCCAGACTAGCCTGATCAATGTAGTGAAACCACGTCTCTTCTTAAAATACAAAAATTAGCCAGGCACAATGACACGCACCTGTAATCCCAGCTACTTGGGAGGCTGTGGTAGGAGAATCGCTTGAACCCAGGAGGCGGAGGTTGCAGTCAGCGGGGGATGCACCATTGCACTCCAGCCTGGGCAACAGAGTGAGATTCTGTCTCAAAAAAAAAAAAAAAAAAAAAAGAGCTTCATAATGAAGCTGCCTTGCAAGCAAGAACTGTGATCTGATAAAAGTTAAACCTATTTCTAGCAACAAAAAACAAAAAAATAGAAATTTTAAATACATATAAAAATGCAGTGATTCATTTCTTGTCCTGTCAAAATCCAACTCAGGGCAAAACTGAAAAATAGCTCATCTTGCTGCTCCCCATCTGTCTTGTCCTTCATTTCATTTTAAAGATGAGAGCCTCTCTCCCTCCAACTCCTTCCTCAGATTCCCAGCACACAGGATCTATCACCTTGGGAGGCTCCTTCCTCAAGTTCTGCTTTTACCATTTCTTGGCACTTGGCACTGCATTGCATGGGTTCCTCCACTGTAACTTCCTCCCCTTTGCACAGACTCCACAGTCTGTCCTGGAAAACCAGTACCCCTTAGGCCTTATAAAGGAACAGTGAATGGGTGAAAGCCTGAGTATACCATGGCCTGCACCCTTCGCATCCAAACCAGATGCACACACTGCCATGACTCAAACTTGCATCTCACCAATGGCAAGGCTCCAAGGACCAGTGAAGGAGGGCAATTTGGTGGCCAGCTCTTGAGAAACACGTTTGAGACAATTACTGTCTTACACTGTTGCTGAATCACTCCATGTGGCAGCTCTCTATTCAGCCAGTCCAGCCAGTGCAGAGGATATTAGTAAGGTCAAGTGGCCCCAATTTGATAACGTCTTCTAAAAAGAAGGCCCACTTGAAAGTACAGTATGGGGTTAAGTATCTAAAACTTGGGTGACCTAAGGCTTGGTTGGCTAAACTGTTGTGTGATTATTGCATTTTTGAGTGGTCTCTTCTCACTATCATGCAGTTATTTCTATAGACTGATCAAGTGTGCTTACAGATGTCAAATGTTTCTAAAGGGGAAAGCAAGAAAATCTGAGTTTCTCTCGTTTCCCACATGACAGCCTCATATCAATTTATTTACAAACTCATAAAGTTCCAGGAAGATAACACCATCTATATTAATCATGTGCAAAATATTTATCCCAGGCCACAATGCCAGAATTATTTTCTTAATCCCCACAGAGTTGTTTTCTTAGATTTTTCTTGGAAAGTGGCAATAGCCTTCTCCTGAGTAGAGGATGATTTAGCTAGTTAAAGCAAGAGGAATCCAGGACAGCAAGAAGAAGACAAAAAACGGAAAAAAGCAATTTATCTTGAGACAAATTCTTTTGGAAGTCCCTGAGACTTTCAAAGGTGCCTGATCTGTTCTTCTGAACAAACAACCTGTTATCTTCTCCCACCTCTATTTTCCCTTGGTTTGACCTCAAGGTGGGGGAGGTCAGCTGCCTTTCTCATGATTCTGCTTTAGAAGGTATGATGTGTTGCAGAGAACAGAAAATATCCAGGGTCATCCTGTTTGTCTCCTGTTGGTGAAGGAGGCTCTCTTGATTAACTAGTGAGTCATTTGCCAATAGTAAATCCTAACAGGAAGGGAGTTCTGTGAAAGTCCCCTTTAACTGAAAAGAACCCCAGAGGTTGGAGATACATCTGGCTTCAAGTATCAACATGTCTTGACATCACATAATGTGAGCTCATCCGTCTTTCAGGTTTCTGACAGTGCTTCCCCACACTCTCAACTTCAGACTCAGTAGTTTCGTAGAGAACAATTAAACTGGAAGAGAAGACATTATAAAAACACAAAATTAACATCATGAGATTTTTTAGGCTAAAATGGACACCATGACTCCCTTAGGTTTCTTCCTAAACCAAGAAAAACAAACCCCGGGAGGGCCAGCCCCAGGCTTTGGTGCTATATTTTCAACAAGCCCATGGGTTTTTAGGATGAATACTGGAGTTTGAGAATGACCATCACAGATCATCAGTCACCTGCTACTCAGAGTGTGGTCCCAGACTGACAGCACCAGCTTCACTCATCTGGAGCTTGTTAGGAATGTAGAATCTCAGGCCCTACCCCAGACCTAGAGAAGGAATCTGCACTTTAACAAAATCTCCAGGTAATTTTCTATGTTAGTGTTTGAGAAGCAATGATAGAATTTGGTGCACATTACAAACACCACTTGGAAGCTTTGTTTTGGTTTTTTTCTTTTTTCTATTTTTTTTTTTTTTTTTGAGAGAGAGAGAGAGAGGAGGGTCTGGCTCTGTCATCTCAGGCTGAAGTACAGTGACAGGATCATTGCAGCCTCGAACTCCTGAGCTCAAGTAATCCTCCAGCCCCAGTCTCCCAAGGTATCTGGGGGCTACAGGCACATGCCACCATGTCTTGCTAATTTCTTACTTTTTCATACAGACAGAATCTTGCTGTCTCCCAGGCTGGTCTTAAACTCCTGACCTCAAGCAGTCCTCTCACCTCAGCGTCCCAAAGTGCTGGGATTATAAGCATGAGCCACCGTGCAAGGCTACACCTGAGAGCTTTTACAACCTAAAGGCTAGAGTCCACTATAGACCAATTAAATCA